GTATCGGCCGATATTAGTGTTTTTCCCCATATATCGGTATCGGTCTGATGAACAAATTTAGCCGATGTGAAAAACTGATGATTGTCTAACATTAGCACCTTCGTCTCTACATCTGATATCGCTGCTATTTCACAGATGTTGTTACTTAAATGTTCCTGGACTTGAATGCTAAATATGTTAAAATATGTTTAAATGTTTTGCTTTTGTTACGTAATAAAGAAGACTATGTGGTCTATTTTGGTATGGGCTTCTTCTGAATAGTTTTCACATTCTCACAGTGCTTACTTATTTTATTTTATTTTTTTTTTATATATATTTTTTTGGCCTTTGCCTTTATTAAGTGCAGTAGAGGGAGACAGGAAAGGGGAGAGAAGAATGGGGACAGACCTGCAGCAAAGGGTCGTGAGCGGGACTCGAACTCACGACCGCTGCATCGGGGAACCACAGCCCCTGCCCACGGGCCGCCCGCTCCACCAGGTGAGCCACAGGGGGGCCCTCAGTGCTTACTTATTAAATTTTTGTTCACACTGGAAAATGAGGATATCGACATCAGTTATCGGCGATATCAGAAATACTAATATCGGATATCGGTATCGGCCAGAAATTTTAATTTCGTACATCACTATTCTAAGTAGATTTTCTCAAATATCTGAGTATAAATAGGTGGAAAAGGAATATACAAATAAATGTTCTTAAGAATCCAATTGTCAACATGTTTCATGCAGACTATTTACACCAGTATGTTGCTGGATGAACTGCAGAAGATTGTAGCTCTACGTACGGCGACTCTTACAAATCAATCAAACATCTCTACTCAAAGACATATTATTGTTTCTTAACACCTTGAATAAATAGATTATATTAATGCCCCCCCATATGTTTTGTCTCTTATAGAGATAAGAACCAAAAATTTGTTGAAAAAAGGTCAATAATTTCATTTTCAAGGCTTACTTTTTGCCTCGCTTTTGACATCAAGCTCAGTCTGCACTCGCCCACACAGTGGTACTTTTATTTATTTTTTTGCCGTTCTCTTGCTGACTGCTCTAAGCGCTCTGCTTGTATGATCAATTTACTTATCTTAGAGGGGAAATACACACATACTTTACTCACCAGACCTGTTCTACTGTATGTAGGGTCAAGGGTGGAATCTTCAGTCAGACACTAGGGGGGAGTTGTTTTAAGTTTAAGCAGCTAAAAAACCTCCAGTTGTGCAACAAAACTAAAAAGCCTCTATGCGTAATTTTGTGCATATTGACAGGCTTGTCTTGATAAATATGTCCCGACAGCTCTGATGGATGTCACGATTCATCCAGAGAAGCTTTAATAAGACAAATAATTCTGCTGTATAAACCTTGAATCTGTGTGGAGCCGCTGACATGTCAGATATGTAGAAGACGAACAAGATTTACATCAGATCTTGTTGTTAATGAAGTTAGTGCTGCTGTGCCACACCCATAAATGTCAATCTCAATTTAAATAAGCAATCATCATATAAAGATAAGAAAGAATCTGACACACAGCAACATGTGAGCAGCAAACAAGGGCTTCAGTGGGTGCATTCTGCAAAATCCTGCACTTCAACAGAAATAACAACAGACATGTCCACCAGTAGGGGTCATAAAAGCAGGGCGTGATTAGCATGTTTTCTACTGTATATTTAAGGGGACAGTTTGGTATTTAGTGAGTACTGAGTGGGGGATACGACCCCCTAAAGAATGCGTGGTTACACCCTGCTGCAGTGCGGAGGGACGACGGGAATTCACCCAACACATGACTCCCATTAGGTCCCATTTAGTGTCAATATGTGAGCTCTATTCCAAACAAAAATCAGCTCATAAGAAAAAGCCCTCGCATGTCATCCGTCAAGTTCGACCCCCCCGAGGCAAGAAACATTTAATAATATCTAGTTTAAGATTTATAAGTACAAGGATTTCAATGATCCCTTTTCTGACGGATAGTGTGTCATTTAGCAACAAACCTCTTCAACAAGTGAAGAAACTCATTACTGCTAATGTGTCTCTTTGGCAGACAGTTTAGCTCACAGGCAGGCACTTTATCAAGCCGCGCCGTGACAGCCTGCATGTCAGAACCCACCTCCAACTAAAACACCCGTAAAGTCGCTCACTTTTCACATTTGCTAACAGTATTGGGCATTAAAAAATAGCTCCGAGGTACATCCAGCATGAGTTATTCATGAGAGAGGTTTTATATGCTGCTGTCTTCACGCATTCTCATCAGGAATTAATCACAGCAGGCAAAGCGGGGCTCGATTTTAATACATATCGAAAGCTGCCCCTCAGCAGCGTAATTATGCCAGAGTTTTATGCTTCATTATGGTTTTATTGGGTCATAAAATGGGTTTCTCGCTGGTCCGCGAGTCTATATTTACATGAGAGTGAATCCACCACACCGATTCACATGATACAGTCTCAGATTAGGATGCAATATGATCCGCAGTATTGTCATTAGCCTCTCAGCCGAGTGGTGCAGGAGCTGTTTGGCTCTCAGATAAGAAGGTCAGCATCATCCCAGCTTGGCCAAGAGTAAATTGATGTACATTTAGGCAACTAAATGTTCAAACTTTAGTTCCTAATTAGTTTAAACCACATTTCTATGGGGCACTACTGAGGCAAGAGTACATTTGGTATTTGCCTGACAATTACTGTTTGTTGTCTCCATCTAGTGGTGATTGATGGTTAGTACAAGCAGAGAATGGCCGGAGTCCCAAAGCTCTTCTTTTCATTCTAAACAGTTTGGAGTTGTGTGTCCATAATAGAAAAGTGGCAAAAGGGAGTGTTTTTGAAACTGTGTCCAAACATATTTAGGGGTTAAGATGAACAAACCTTCTGAACAAATTGTAAAAGAAAAAAATAAAGAACCCCCAAACCTCTCCGTTGGTTTGAAGGGCATGTTATTTTACAACAAAGAACCCCAAAAGAATCATTTATCAGAGCCAGAAACTTAAAAAACAGAAAAAAATAGTCTGATTTTCAACTTTCTGATGGTCCCGACACGACTCCTCTGTGATGTACTGTTTTGTTGGAAGCTCATATCTCATCAAAAATGTTTTGTACATGTCTCATTTAAAAATCAACAAAAATAAAAGATTTGCTCCAACTAGATTCTGTCAAAAACTAAAACTTCCGCACCCTTCAGCACAACTGGGAAGCCATGACTGACTCAGATGTCATGTGACAAAAAGTATAGTACAAAATAAAATAAAGAAATTGAACTTCTGGGGGTTTTTGTGTTGTTTTTTTGCATGATTTATAGCATTGTAACTTTGTAAAACTGCACGAAAAAACTATTTTTTCAGTTCTCTGAGTGTTTGAGGTGCAGGACTTTATATTGTAGTGAAAAAATGAGTTCATGTCAAGACAGACTCCACTCTCAGAAGAGTCGTGACTCTGTCCTCAGGCTGATTTGATGTCACTTTTGTCAGGGCAGAGGTTCAACCTTTTCAGTTCCAGAGAGTCAGCACATTGTCTACTCTTCTTTCCCTCATGGAATGATGACCCACCTTTGGGCTGGGACACCCTGGCACACTCATGAGTCTTCTCTCCTTCCATGCTCTCCAGCCCCTTCTTCCAAGGATTCAGGCAACATATGTGAGGCTGATTTTGGTAGTTCCTCTTTGGCCCCACTTGCAGTGGTCCTGGCGATTCGCCTGTCTGAAATGAGACACCGTGGAAGCTTTTACTTTGGAAAAGACCTGCTGTCTCAGGCTGATGGGATCCTGCTTCATCCCTTCTTGGCTGAGCCCAGATTGGCATCCTGACCTCTGAGAGGAACAGGTTCCTGCCCATGGGCTTGTCAAGGCCTGTGGTGAGAACTACGTAACAGGGTCGGTTGGCATCCACAAGAGCTGTCAATCTGTATGGGGGGTATTTACCACTTGGCCTGGACTTCACCAGATGTATCCCTACTCAGCAGCACAGGGACTCTTACTGTTCTGTACTGTCTTAGCTGGAGACAGGGAGTTCTGCCGCTACCCTGCTAAGTGTAGTGGAAACACAGGATTTTATCCCAGTCAGTCCGTGGGTCTTGGGTCCGCAAAGTGCTTCAGCATCCCTCTCTTTTGACTTTTGTTGCTGATCTGAAATGGGTTTTCTTCAGAACTACGTTTCTGTTGGCAACAACCTCTGCCAGGCAAATTGCAACTGCTGCAGGTTTTTTGCCAGAGGGTTCATGTGTAGTCCTTTGTCCCAACCTGGGGTTCCTGCTGAAGGCTTGATCTGAATTGGCCTTTATATCAGTCTTGCATCTTGTGAACTGGCCTCCGCAGCACCTTTGCCTATCAGGTCTGGTCTTTATGGCGTCCAGGGCCTCTGCCTGGTTGGTATGTTAAGAAGTGTACATTTGCAAATAGTGCATCTGTCATATACTGTACATGTGGTTTGTGCTGCACCGTCTCCTCAGGGGGTGTCTTAAAGAGTTACCCCATACATATGAAATATGTAACTGGGAGGAGAGACTCTGGAGATAAGAGAACGTATGGTTACACTGTAACCTTGGTTCTCTGTGTGAAGAGACCAGCTCTCCAGCTCTTTTGGCTGCTCTGAGATTCGTTTCGATCAAAACTATCAGTGAATTCACACCAGCACAGGTGCTTTATAGGTGACCTGTGGGGTGTGACCAGGAAAGCCGGAGTGTCTTAAAGAAGTATCCACGTACCCTGACAAGCAGGGAGGTCATTCCCCATACCTATGAAATCTGTAACTGGGTGGACAGATAGTCTCTTCACTCAGAGAACCAAGGTTACAATGCAACCATATCTTTTATGTTGTAGGCCACTAAATTGTTCTTTTTCTTTTTCTTTAAATTCTTTGCCTTTGTCACTAGTTTATTTTTCTTTAGTTTAAAAAGAATGTAAGAGTGTTTGTGTGTGGGGAAATACCTAAAAAATTATGACCATTTCCTTCTTTTTTTTATCTCTTGACATGGGTGATAAAACATTTAAAAAATGGAAAATAAACCACATTTTTACGAATACACATTTGAAATGGTTAAGACTGCACATTTACTGAAAATCTGAACATAACTGAACAGAATCTATGAAATTGAAAACAAAACGAACATTTCTGAATAAATGAGGAGAATATAAAAAGTACATTGATTTCTCTTATTCTAAAGGTTTTATTCATGGCACAAAACACTGTTTACATGCTTTTACACCTAAATTTATTTACATTTGGCAGAGGTCCATTTTCATTAAAAGTTTTTATAAGGTTTTTCTTTATGTGTAACTGCACGCTTCTGCTCAGCACTTCAAGAAATCAAAAGGCTACTGATAACATATCATAATCACGGTCAATGAAAGTACAAAACAGTGTTTGTAACAAAAAGATGCATGTTTTCCTCTAAACAAAAAAAACAAACAAAAAAAGACTTTCTCCTTGAATGTGTACACAAAAAACAACAACTTGAGCTTTAGGGGTCACACTTCATGATCTCTCTGAGGCAGATGGTAGCATAGCAGGACGAGTTCAGGTCAAAGTTTAAGGTGAGAATGTCACAATCTGAGTCCTGTTTTCTTTCGCCTGCTTGTCCGCCCTCCCTGCTGGCTGCTTTCTGCAGCTGGTAGCTGAGGTTGTGTGGAATCGCCAGCAGGGGGCGATAACAGCCAGGCAGGTTCAGTTTGAGGGTGCTCACTCTGAAGCGACAGTCATTCAGTCCGTCTCTGGCCAGTCTTTCCTGGTACCAATTCCCCATGGTGTTTTCTGGATACTTGACGGTGTTTCCTGGCATCGGTAACAACACCTGCCAGGATGACAAAATACACATTAGCGACTGCATAGTGTTTAAAGCACAATTAACTGCATTTTGTAGTAAAAGTACAAGTAGTTCCACAAACTCCCTACTTGTTCTAGTGTGTACACTTCCCCTTTTTCCTCTTCATCTGTCACCACATGGATCTGGAAAAGCAAAGGAGGAAATGTCAATTCCACAGGCAGGATGAATATATGTCGTCACATTTCGATTATATGCTCTGATCAAGACAATGTGTCCCTAAATAAATCTTGTTTACTGATGAAAGGTGCTTGACATGTCCCTGGGTTACAACAACAGCAAAAAAAAATGAAACCATAGCAAAGATATTGTTGTAACTGTGTTAAAGTGCACAGTCACTGTATCAACAGTGTGGGGGGAAACTGACTGAGCTGTTTTCTACTTGGTGTGGCTGCAAAAACGCTGATGCCTCGTTTGGAAATCCAAGAAAACAGAGCTGATATTTTGCTGAGATCTCAGGCTCAGAGTCCAAGTACCACCTTTATTTACTACCTCATCATTTTGTGTCTGCACTCGCCTTTAAAAATATAAGTCATCATAGTCCTAGCCTTAGGTAGAAAGGCCACATTGTCACCTCATTTGCATCTGAACTCCACAAGGATTTGGCGTCACAGGCGTGTATAGGCACATACTTGGTTTTCTGTAACGAGGTGTGTCACAGTTTCAACCCAACAACATGTTTTTAACAATGTTTACTGCAGTTGGAGCAAAGACTCACCTACATTAAATCTAACTTAACACAGAGCCTATTAAAAGTATTTACCGCTCCTCCCCGCCCTTGGAAGTTTTCTTCTTTAATGGCTTTTTAACATTAAATCATGCTCAGGCGTTTTTTTGACACGAATTTGCAAATAAAGACTCTTTCATGTCAAATATAAAAAACAAGTGACTGCACTACCGATCATCACAAACGCACGATCCCCACTATGAAGCATGGTGGTGGCAGCATCATGATGTGGGGATGCTTCTCAGCAGCAGGACCCGGAAGGCTTGTAAAGGTAGAGGGTAAAAAGAAACCGTGGAGGACAGCCTGATGTAGTCTGCCTAAGAACTGTGATTTAGGAGAAGATTTGTTTTCCACTAAGAAAGCGATGTGAAGCCAAAGCTACAGCAATAATTTAAAGAACAACAAGGTGAATGTTCTGGAGTGGCCGAGTCAGAGCCCAGACCTCAATCCAACTGAGAATATGTGGCTGGACTTGAAAAAGGCAAATACTGGAATTACTTATTCTACCTTATATATTTTTAATTAATTTACATGATTTGGGGAGATGTGTTTACACAGGGAAGTGAAAGGATCCACGTTGAAAAGCAATCAAAGGGGCGGGAATACTTTTAATAGGCTCCATCTCTTCTTTTCTGACCTTTTTAGTCGTCAATGACTGCTTATATTTATGTTCCATGAAATTTAGCAGTCCTATTTTATTGTGGACGATTCAAGAATTAGTTTCTATAAAAGTATAAACTATGATATTATGTTAAGTTTGCAATATTTGTATCAGCTTGTCGTCTCACAGTGGGCTTCATGGGGCATTTTTTTTGCGCATCCAGATCTAACCGTCATCTTAACAATTTGGGACATGACATTAATGCCACAGCAAATTACTTTTTTCTATTGTCTATGCTTCTTACCTGAGCAGCACTAGTTTCTCCAGAGTCCTCCACTTTGTTTTGTTCTTCCCGCATCCACACCAGGTCTCCTTGTCTGACGCTGTGACCCAGAGTAGCAAGCCTGTGTGCCACTGCCTCGTTCCACACTCTGACAACCACAAACACATCAGCGTAGTTATCAAAGGTTCTCCTTGTAACAGTTAGAAAACCCTTGTTATTGATGATACAGCACTCAAACAGAGTGCAGAAATCATTCTGGCTATTCAAGGCTGTAGTGTCAGTTTTATTTATCCGTGCCCTGTCGATGTCGACTCTTGCTTTCATCCCATGTTGGTCACATTCCTGTTTGTAGCTGGATGAGCTTGACCCAGTTACAGTTTTTAATTTTTTTTTGGAGTCTTTGCTGTATTATATGTTGAGGCCAGTGACATGCGGTCAGGGGAGGCAGAGCTTCACCTGACATCACAGAAAGAAAAAAATATGTGACGATAAAATAATTTAAATGGTTATATTTATCCAGTGACTTGTACTATAAAGTATTTATTTTTTCATGTAGCCTCGTCAGCTTTGATGTTTTTTGAACTCAAAATGGCAAAATTTTCGCAATGTCCCATTCAAACGCTTGGAAGAGAAGCCGGTGAGGCAGCAGCGAGGTGAGCCTCACTTGGATTGCACAATCCCTCTCTTCACTGGCTGCCTGCAGTGACAGCGTGCTGCTGTCTGGATGTCGTCAATGACATGTTTCAAACACATTTAATATATGAACTGATTTTCCATGGTTCAGCTGATGTATATAATAATGTTCAGTGTTTTTGTTACCAACTGTATGTGTGTAACATTTTTCGTATGCTGAGCGATCATAAACGGTTGAGAAGAGGTTCTTGGTGAGGCAGGCAGTTCTCTTTCCTGATGGTAGGGAGCACTCTGATCCCAGACATGCTTCTTGTGACTCCATGCCTGCAGAGTAAGTGACAGCAAGCTGGACTAGGTATAATACACAGTTAGCAAGTCAAGTGCAGCGAAGGAAGATAAGGAGACTTTTACAACAAAGTAACCGATATTTTGTCCAGAAGGAGCAGAGCATGGACTTCATTTAAAGGTGAAGGGAAGACCGCAATAACTTAAAAAATTAAATAAAAATGAAACGTGCATTTTGTGGGATACAGCTTGTATGTGTAAAGACTGCAGATATGAAACATAACCCGTAAACTGCTGCCAATCAAATGGCAAATATGCTACTGTGTAGAGTGCATATATCTGTAAATCAGATTCTGATGAAGTCAGTGCCTCACCAGCCACGAACCTCACCGCATGTCACTGGTTGATGCCCAATTCTAAGTAAAGTGCTGATGCACACTGTTGGTGCTATCAGGAAGTGATACTGAGCATAAACATTATGTTCTTTCTTTTTTTTGGATTTCCCCAGAAAAATCATTCTTAGTGCTTTTGATAGAAAATGAGTCTAGGTTGCCATGGGAGTGGTTTCTGAGTATATGTATTCTAGTATCTTGAGAGAATTAAAGTACAGGGAGTGCAGAATTATTAGGCAAATGAGTATTTTGACCACATCATGCTCTTTATGCATGTTGTCTTACTCCAAGCTGTATAGGCTC